TTTAGAAACTTTATAAATGAATTGGATCTTGCTAACGAGCCAAGTGGCGTGTCATTTTTCTGTTCTGTACGATGGCTTTTAAGTAGTGATGTTTTTTATAGATTTGTAGAACTATTAGAGCCAATTAAATGTTTTTTGATTGAAAAAGAAAAGATGTTTGAAATCCTAGACGATATAAATTTTGTGCAAGATCTTTTGTTTTTGACTGATATAATGCAACATTAAAAAGTATGAATTTGTTTCTTCAGGGAGAAGAAAAAAATATATCTGATCTTGCACAAATAATATTTAGTTTTCAAAAAAAAATTATTCTTTTTCAGAAAGATCTTAGTTTGAAAAAATTTAATCATTTTCCTCAAATGAAGAAGATGATTACTTCTCATCCTTCAATTCAGTATGATGACGATAAGATTGAAACAAACTAAAGGATTTACAAAAAGACTTTCAAAAAAGGCTTAAAGATTTGCATGAACTAAAATCTTCTTTAGGATTTATAGTAGATCCTTTTTTAATTAATATTATTAGTAATGGCTGTCCAATTCCTGAAAAATGCTTGAAGATATATCTCAATTTGAAATGGAACTATTAGATCTCCAAGAAGATCAAAATCTACTTGCATTCTACTGCAATCTACTGCTGCATAAAACAATAACTTTTATGGAATTTTGGAAGATAGTTCCCGAGGTTAAGTATCCTCAACTAAAAAAGATTGCCATAAAATTCATTTCAATTTTTGGTTCAACGTATACATGTGAATCTTTATTCTCTACTATGAAATTTGTCAAATCAAAGTATCGTGCAAATCTAACCAGCGAGCATTTGTCTGAGTTACTTAGAACAGCCGCTACAAGTTTGAAACCAGATTTTAAGAAACTTACGAGTAAAGTTATGAGTATTAGTTTGATCAAAGTAAAAAATTGATAAAATAATGAAAAAGTTATTTCTTGATTGTAAAAATCAAGTAAAAAAATCTAATTTTAGTGTTGTTTTTTAATTATTATTTCATTGATATAAGCATTGTTATAATTTTGTTAATTAAAAAAAGTTTATAATCATCATGTGCTTGTGCAAAAACCTATCATAAAAAAAATCAGTGTGATCATGTGATTGTTGAAAATTATAGAAATGATTTTTTAGTCTGAAGGGAACTTTATAAAATAATCAGATATGGCATTGTAAACAAAACCTTTGAAGGAATAGTTTTTTCTTTAAAAAATTTATTGAGTGTTTTAAAACAGTTAACTAAATTCAATTGTATACATATTTTACTTAAATCTTTAAAAAATGATTTTTTGTATCCAAGAAATATCTAAATTTCATATTAAAATGATATTGTTGAATAGTAATACAACAATTATTTCCACCCCTTGGGAGCACATAGAATTTTCTAAATAATTTGTATTTTCTAAAATTTTCTATAAAAAATGATTTTAAATAGTGAATTACAAATTGTTGTTTTTATATGAAACCAAGAAAATAGGCTAGTACTAGAAGTTTCTTATTTTTTAGGTAGTTTTTTTTTTACTTATCTAGTACAAAGATCTCTTAAAATTCAGATTATCAAAAGAAAGAGTATAAAAGTTTCTTATATAAAAAAACAAACATGAAGTTGTTGCGGCTCTTCAGCCCTCATAAGTATATAAATGCGGTTCTTGTAACAAAACGTCTGGTCAGCGCTGGTATAGAATCTGCACGTGTGTCAGTATGTTTGTATATATATATATATATATATATATATATATATATATATATATATATATATATATATATATATATATATATATATATATATATATATATATATATATACATGCATACATATTAAGGGTGGGAATTTTTTTTTTTCAAGTGGCGGCCCTATAACTATCGGTGGAGTAATTGCCTAAAACTCACAAAATATAAAAATAAACCATATAAACGGCAAAAACTCTCTGCGCAAATCCTTTTTAAAGTATCTTCAAAAGTTTGAAAATTTGCTTAAATAACTCATATCGTTTAATAAACAATATAATAGTTAAACAATGTTTAACTATTATATATTGTATATATTTAAATATCTGTATTTTAGATGTATAAGATATCAGAAAATAATTTAATTGGACAAATTGATCACCCTTCCACTATTTTCAAGCCAAAAAATCGTATATATGGAAATTTGATTGAGAAATCACTGATAGAATTTTCAGAATTATGTAAGACAAGGCAGATATTAGGAAGATATCATTTTCTTTTAGAATTGGGTAACATTCCAAGATAAAGTGATGTTATTAAAAGAATCTCAATTGAAGTTTGTCAATTAAGGAATAAAATGACGATACCATGTTTTACGGAAAAATCTGTGCAAAGAAAAGTAAAGTCTGCTATTCAAAATTATAAATTTGCTATCAAATCTTCACAAAGTACAAATAAAAAGACAATTATTATAAACAGCTGGGATAAATTATTTGACTTATTGCCCAAAAATGCTAAATTTTAAAATCTGGAATCTTTTATGAACTTCAGAAATCTTCCGATAGGTGCAAAGGTCAGTGCAGTATTGTGACAGAGCCTATTACAACACATCCGCGAGACCTGCCACCTAAAAGAAAAGATCTTCAAACAAATTATAGTCAATCATTTGATGATACAGAGAATTCTAGTAGTTAAAGTTTAGAAGATAATAGTACAAGCGATGATTACATAATCCCATTGAAACGTGCAAAGATCACCAGTAAAATGGTAGCTAAGATATCTGAAAATAAAAGGTATCCAGTAAGTTGTACGGCGAAGATTGCAGAAGCTGTACTCAATGCCGTTCGTGAGACATCAATTTGCAGATTGGCAGTCTAAAAAGCATCTACAACACTCGTACATGAATTAAGCTTAATTCGGTCTTATATAGACTCTTCTGAAGAAATGTGGTGCTTACATTTTGATGGTAAGAACGTAGACAAAACATTATTATAGCACCTGCATTTCGAGCAGGTCTAAGTCTTTGGTAATATTGTTGAAAAAATTAGAGAAAGGCAACTCAGTTTGTATTTATAACATGTTACACAATATTGTTTTAAAATTTAATTTATTAAATAAAATTTCGATTGTAATATGTGACACCACTCCAGTAAATACAGGTTCTAAAAATGGAGTAATGAGGCGTTTGACAAAAATTATTCCTGGTTTAGTGTACCATCCTTGTCTACTTCATGTTCTCGACCTGATTCTTAAGCATTTTATGAACTCAAAGTTTGATTCCTTATCAACATCGCCTAATATTAATTACTGGCTCATTAATGAGTTGATTAGTAACTACCATGATTTAATTAAAAAATACAAGCCTAACGGGCCAGTTATTAAAAGTAAAAAATATGGCAGGAATGATTATACAGAACTGGATTTGTTATGTAAAGGATAGAAGTCTTACACAATGAATTTACCCGCAATTCATTTTTCTAAACCAGGGCTTATTTCAAATGCATGATGGAATTCAAGAGCTATCTATTGCTTGAAATATATGCTTTTGACTCTGACAAAAATAGAATCTATAATAGAGGCATGCAATTTTATTGTAGATCACTGGGCTAAGCCATGGTTCTCTTGCAGAAGAAATGTTGACAATATAATGAAGTTAAAATTGGCATTAACTGGTAATTGACTGGAGTGTTTGGAAAGACACTGTGGTATTTGGAACTATTGTCCATTAGACATTGATTACACAAATGAAGTGTGCAAAAGGTCTCTTGCAAAAGTTAAATTATTTCTTCAAAGAAACGCCATTAACTTAGAGGCCAAATTTCAGAGACACTCTAATAAACTTTAATCTGCCTGTGTGTGTTATTGTAATAAAATAATTTATTGTTAGAACTATATTTATTCCCATGATGCAACTTTATTTTAGTTATTGACGCAACTTTATTTTAATATTTTTATCACTTTAGAACTTGACAAACATTATCTTTACTCCAAGTTATATATATTTTTAGGCGTAGTTTGTAAGTATGGAGGCTAGCCATGGTAGACAATTTGCAGGACCGGGACGTTTTTCAACTTTAGGTGTCCTTTTCCAAATAAAAGGATTTTTTTTTAATTTACTTATTAATGGAAGGTTTTTAAGATTTTAACGCCCTAATGACAAGTTGGAGGGAGGGGGCTCTGACCCCTTAGCCACAGCACTGTTTGTAATGTATTTTCATCCCTATGTAAATTTGTTACTATGTTTTTTTTTACTAATATTTTAGTTGATAAAAGTCATTTCTTTTAAAAACAAGATTTTTCAATCTGTGGCAACTTGATTTAATAACTTAATTTTTGACAAATTTTATCATTTCGAAAAAATAAGTTTGCGCGGGTTTTTGAATCTGTTACGGTTAAAATTATTTTTGAAATAACTTTTTATAACATTTCTCCACTGGTAATAATAGGACAAATTGATTTTAAGAAAAAAATGTAAAAAATTTCTACCTCTAATATATATATATATATATATATATATATATATATATATATATATATATATATATATATATATATATATATATATATATATATATATATATATATATATATATATATATATATATATATTAAACCTGGTAATTTGGTGTTTTCTCAGAATCAGACATTTTTTTGCAGTACTCAGCACCGGGTATCTTAGAGGAAATTTTTAATAAACATTTACCTTAATTTTTTGAAGATGATAGAGTTAATTTTAATTTTCAAGCTCTCTTGATGATTTTGGCATTAATAATGTAAGAGGGCAAGCTAGGGATTGTCCATAAAGTATGTATGCTCGGATGCGAAACAGGAGTCTTCAAATGACGTATATGACATAAGAGGCAGGGGTCAAATATAAAAGAAGGAGAAACTAAATTTAAAAAATATTGTAAAATGCTGGGTAGGTAGTTTAAAGGCGTTGGTACTTTTAGGGAGGTGGAGCGTACTTAAAAAAGTGTGGTTCCATCACATCTTTAATATATGTGTGTGTGTTTGTGTGTGTACACACATATATGGTGTCATGTTTTTAGAAATAAGTGATTTCGGATATCCTCAAAAGACTGATGTTGGAATCTTGAAAACTTACATAACGCAGCAAGGTGTTCGTTCTCAGGTTTGCTCATTTTTTAAATACTTTTATACAATACATTTAAATGTTTGTTCCAATGCTTTATATAGTAAACAGTTCTACATTAATAATGATGAAAAATATTTTAAAAATATCTTTTGTCATGTTTATAAAAAAATTTTCTATTTGGATGTTAGACGAGAGAAGAGCAAGCTCAGATTACTAGTCAAGTAACAGGTCAAATAGGTTGGAGAAGAGAAGGTATTAAATATCGCAGGAATGAGTTATTTTTAGATGTCCTGGAATCTGCAAATCTGCTTATGTCACCACAAGGTATTTAAATTATATACAGGCTTTATTTTAAAGCGTTGTGCTGGATTCATTTTGCATTAATTATTTTACTATAAAACACATTGTATATGAAAAATTAAAGTTATCTATAAAATAGTTTTAATAAGCAGCAAATAAAAATATCTATTCAATTTTAATTTTGATTTAAAAGGTATTTGAAAGTTTCATCATTTTAAATTAAATTGAATATTAGCATAGCTTTTTCAGCAAGGCCATATGGAAAGTCTATGAATGTCATAATACTACTAAAGCATGTAATGCCCTTTTCAATAAATTTTTAGATATATATAATTTAACATTTCTATATGAAATAATAAAAACAAAAATAAAAACATTTAGTAACCATTTGATGAACTTTAAAATTAAAACCCAGTAAAATGTGCTAAAAAAGCCTATAACAAATTTCTCAAAAATAGGATTATTAAAAATGAAAACAAATACAAAAACTATAAATACTTTCAATATTCACTACTAATTAGGGTGGGTTGAAATATAAAAATTTTAACAAATCAAAAAGTATTCCTTTCTAATACCTTGCTTTTGATTTGTAGAACATATTTATGAGGAAAGTCAGTGGTTACCAGTTGTAGCAGTTTTAAACCCACTTGTCTCAAAATGTAAAATTTTTTGTCATTTTTATGGGTTAAAAGTGTAAAAATAATCATAAATGCATTATAAAATAAGCTACAAACATTATTTAGGTACCAAATGATGCAGAATTAAATTTAGAACATTGTTTATTTAAGTAATTCTTTTTTCTAAAAACTAAATCTATGTAGTTATTGCTAAAAATCTAAATTTTTAATTGTTTTTTAGTTAAAATTGTGCCATATTTATTTGATAATTAATTTAAACCTAGTATATTTCATCTCATATATTTCATCATTCTTTCAAATTAATTATCAAGGTAGAAAATTCTTACAATTGTAGTGTTATTTATATATAAAACACAGAAAAATATATAAAACATTACAATTTAAAATCATTTTTTTAAGGTTTTTTTTTTATTATTATTATTATTATTATTTTGTTATTTAGTTGCCCCAAGAAGACCTAACGGTCTTGTCAGAAAGCACTGCAGAAGTGCAATTAACTAGGAAGTTCATGCCTCTTTCCTTACCTTGATGCAAAAATATGCTCAGAGCTTGTTTCGAACCTGGATCTCCTGTTTCTCAAGCAAACGCTCTAACCATTTTAATTTTGTTTCAAATAACTCCATCTCTGCGATTGAGTTAGCCACATGTACCAACACAGATGTTGAACCTTCTATAAAGTTTATATACCTTTTAACATTTTGGCTGTGACACTCATGTCTCAATATAAGTGTTTTTTCGAAAAATCAAGTATTTTATCTTCTTCAATCAGTCTCAAAACCGGTAGAATTGCGTGCCATTGGGAAATCGAGGTCATTTAATAATAACATACATTAAATAACATAGATGATTAAATCTTGAGCTTTAGAAACACTAAAACATCTTCATTCATTGAGGAACCTTCACTAACATTGGCCTTATTGCTATTGTCACTATCAACTGTTCCCCATATTTTTGTAATCCTGTTATTATGGAGCTTAATATTTTTTTGAATAAACATAAATATATTAAAACTTGAAATTATATACGTGTATAATTTCAAAAAAAAAACTTATGAAACAGCAAATCTGAAATTCCACGTTGTCAATATTGTCTTTTGATAGAGAATACTCTCCTCTCTGATTAGTTGGTGTTGGTACATCATTCCTTCAACAACGTCAAGAGATGAATTTTGGAGTGAATTTTCTTTTAGTTGGCTACTTAAAGCAGTTCTTTCCAGGTGCAGCAGAATATTCCATACAAGAAACATGTCATCATCATTGACGTAATGGTTAAAAGTAAAAACAAAGTAACGTGTATTCGTTGCTGCTTTCTTAATATTCCTTGAAATTTCATAGCTTATGGAGCTTATGGAGCTAGTACAAAAATATTTTCATTTGTTTACCTTATTGACAACTATAAGTCTATATGTATGTTCTCCATACACATCTCAAAAATAAGACAAAAAATCAGAAAACCATAATCAGAAAACAAACTTCTTATTCTGATTAAACTGATTGTTTCATACTTTTGATTTCAAAAATATGAAACAATCCATTGAAAAAAAAAACAATCAACAGGATTACAAAAATATGAAACAATCTATTAAAAAAAAAAGAAACAAACAACAGGATTACAAAAATATGAAACGATCCATAAAAAAATCATCTTCACCGTGAAAGTCTTTTATGAGGTCTTTTAAATGCAAAATTTTATTAACTGCTGCCCTTCTGACCTCTTCATTCTTGTCGGCTAACATTCCAATGAGAATATTTTTACCATAAGCAGGCTTGGATACATATGGCATGCGATCACATGCTGTAACAACCATGATTATAATGTTTTTTTTTTTTTAATTTGACCACATCTGTTAAGATGTTTTAACAATTTAAAAGCAATAAAAAAATTTTACGTTATGAATAACTCTTAATGATTAATCTTTTCTAAAGATCTTTACTTTTATGTGAAAACTTTAAATGAAATACAAAATTAATTTTAACAATTGTTTAGAATAAAACCATTTTGTGTAAATTAACAAAAAATATTTTATATAATTTTGTTATATGTAGGCATGTATTTTTTATGCTAAATTTAACTGCTTGAAACTATTTTTCCATGTCTTTCTAAAATTCTTTTAAACAAGTTACTTTATATTATAAATATGTTCAAATCTTTTTGCGACTAGTTGTTAAAAAAGGGTGTATGAACATTTATATAAATTATACAAAAATAACTTTATTTACTTTATTGATGTATAAGTATTTTGTAATGTTTTTATCTTGCTATTTTTTTAAAAGATTTTTATTTTACTTTTAATTAGGGCATGAATATGTTCAAATTTTTTATAATAATTTTTTTTTAAATTCCTTATGTGAAACGCCAAAGCAACAAAAGCTAGCAAGAAAAATGAAGAATTAAATTTTCCCATAGCAATAAAATGATTTAATTGCTTTATTTTTTTTCTTTTTATTTTTACGAAGAATTGTTTAAAACTTTTTTTAACTTGATTTACTAATCAGAGCATGATATGATTAAAAATTGCTACTTCAAAAAGACTACCTTATTTTTTTAAACAATTTTTTTGCCACTTTTTGGCAGAAGAAAAAAATGTTTATACAATTTGAAAATATTATATATATAACTTTTTTATAATTTAAATAAAATTTATTAAACAATCACTAGAAGTAATTTATTACTTAATATAAAAAATTACTTTATATAAAAAATTACTTATTACTTAAATAATTAATTTATTACTTAATATAAAAGCATTTTGCGAAACTTATAAAATGTTTCAAAAGATAAGTTTTAAAATAATTTGTTTTAAATGCAATTAACACATTAAATAATATTAAACAAATAAATAAATGGTTATCCTTCAAATCTGATTAAAGTAACAAGCTCACACAAATCAAATCACTAAAATTAATTTATTCCAACATTGATTCGATTTTAAACAAACGCCAAGAACTAAATTTCATTGTTCAAAAACGTAAACCACATCTCATTTGTCTTACTGAAACTTTGCCTAAAAATTGCCGATCAATGTGCGGTGATCAAGAAATTACTATAGAAAACTACATAACACTATCAAATCACAATAATAAATCATGTCAAAGAGGTGTAGCAATATTTGTACATATATCGTTAAAATCGTCAATGGTTACCATTGCATCAGAATCAATTAGTTGTGAAATTCAAACAAAAAATTCTAAGCTACTAATAACAACATTCTACAGATCTCCAAATAGCAATGAGGAAAATGATAACTATATAAATCAACACATAACTAATCTTTCTGAAAAATACGAAAACATCCTTATTGTTGGAGACTTTAACTACCCAGATATAACTTGGTCTAAAAAAAAGAAAACCCGATATCTCACTCAACAAAATCTTTAAAATTCATAAATTCAATCCGCAATTGTTTCCTCACACAACATATATCTAAACCAACCCACTTCAGAAAGAATCAAAAACCAACTACTATCGATCTTATAATAACATCCGTGGAAAATATAATTTCACCAATAACCCACCTTGCTCTAATTGGAAAAAGTCATCACCACCTTTTATACTTTACCGTACTAACCAATCCAATAGATAAACCAACTCATACTACTAATAAGCAATTATTCTCTAAAGGAAACTATAATAAAATTAATAAAGATCTATCAACCTTAGTGTTAAATCAAAACTATAATTCAGAACAACTTTGGGATATATTCTACACGAACCTTAAAAACACTATTAAAAAAAATGTTCCAAAATCCTCAACAAAACCTAAAAAGCGTTCTCAATGGATAACCGACCAAGTAGCAGAAGAAATAAGAAATAAACAAATTAAATATCAAGACTACATTCATAAACGGAATGGTAAAACTTACTTTGACTATTGTCGAGCGCGTAACAGAACTAAAGCAGCTTGCAGAAATGCTATAATAAATTTTGAAAAAGAAATTGCTAAAAACATCAACAAAAATCCTAAAGCTTTTTTTTCATACATAAAATCAAAAAATCTTATAAAAAATCTCATTCCTGAAATAGTCCACAATAAGATAGTTGCTACCACCGATCTTGAAAAGGCTCAATGCTTCAATAATTACTTTGCTAGTAATTTTTCTGATAATGATACATTGGCTGTTCCAAGTTTTAACTTATCTTCTATTTGTCCCAGTCAAATCTCTAATGATCTTGATCTATCTCCTGAAAACATTGTATCTAATCTTCTGTCTATAAAGTCATTTAAATTACCGGGTCCAGATGAGATACATCCCAAAATATTAAAAGAAACCCATCACCAAATCTCTAAACATCTTTCTATTATTTATACTAAGGTACTTCAAACTAGTACATTACCACAAATCTGGAAAGATGCAAATATCATTCCAATTTTCAAAAAAGGAGACA